ACAGCGACTGCGCGGCAGTGTTGCTGCCTTTTGTCTGAATTATAGGCGCGCAATGGCGGTGGATTGATGGCCAAAGAATGGAGAATCGTGTCGTACGTTTTAGGCTGTATCTCCGGATTGCGGGTGTCTACGAGGAAACGATTTCGCACGATGATTGGCGAATGTACTGTGTCCGATTTGAGCTCGAGTTGGATGAGTTACGCGTAGTAAATCGTAGGTATTCTAAGGCTAGTAAATGACGAGTTTCCCTTGTTTATTGATGTCACACTCCTCCCTATTATCTACTCCTGATATGTATACATATATATATATTAGCAAGAGCTTTTACTCGTCGGTTGGACGATCGGTTTAAATATCGATATATAATTGTGTGTGGGCGCTCGTAGAAGTATCCCTGCTGCTTTTCCTCCTCTAGTTGAATTCCACCACATGGTCTACTGTTCAGACTGACGAGTGGGTGGGTGTTAACGACTGCTACAACTACGGGGCATGTAGTGCTGTGGTACCAGCATAATTATAGCAGCTGTAGCAGCAGCATGTGGTCATTGACCCAAGCTTAGCTGTTGCTCCCTCTCTTGCAGGTATGATTGTTGGCATCACGGTGGCGTGTGCAGCTATCGCTCTCATCATCGTCGGCAGCGTCATCTACTTCAAGAAGCACCCGAGTAAGTGGGAAACCATCGCCAGCAGCGCCACGAGAACAAAACGCTCCCTCCAGGGGCGAGTGTGAGTGTGTGGCGCTATCTGTTGGCTCTCAAGGAAAACATATTTTGCATATTATTTGCTTTGACATTGACAGTGACATTGCTGCAAGCATTTGCGTTTAAGAATTCCCATGTGCGATTGGAAGTCAGTGGGCATAATTCGGATACAGCTAATATTTAATTATATTATAATATTATTATATATAATTTAGGATATATTTAACAGGAAAACTGATTCCCACAAGTCATGTGATAAATGCGAGTTGGATTATGAAATTGATGAATCGTGAGATATATCTCCGAAACAAAAATTGTCTAATCGCCCATGACTACATCCGAGTATTTAGAATTCCTTAATGTGATCACTGGATCTAAAATCAACAAAACTATATATTTTGCGGGAAATGTACACTTATGTGATGAGTGCTACCTTGGATTGTGCGATACGCCTTTTCAACCAGATTGGTGTCTAATCATGCTCATATTTATGCAGGCGTCTATGTGACAGGTCAAACTGTTGTTGACAGTGTTGCTCAAAACTTGTTGGTTTCATTGGAATTAGTATAGTCGTAGCTCCTACAAAAATAGTGTTGTCTGTCGTTTCACCATACTTCTGTCTCGTGCCTCGTGTTTATAGTTAATAACACTGTAATAGGACAGCCCACGGCCAGATGCACCTGGCAGTATATACATGTCGCCAAGAGCTAAATATATATTATATATACGGGATTTGGCAGGGTGCATGAAATGACGTTGGATCAAATAATTCCGCCAACGAAATGGTTGCGTCATATTTAATTTCTTAGCCTAGGACACCGCTCCCTTAACACGTTGCATTTATCTCCGGCGGAATTTCTTCCGGGCGGCTGTTTCTGGAGGGCTGTGCGGGAAATTTTTGTTCACGCCTGTATGTTTATTTGTTTCTGCGGCGGTGACGCCAGGGGGCGAGTGTTTTTCTCGTTAACTCGTGCGTCAGTGCTTTAATTGCGCTTTCATATAGATCTGCGCCTTTTAGTCGCAGTTTCAGTTTTTGTTGTAGTACGTTGCAGTATCCGAATTTGGCATCAAGGCAACGGAAGTTAACGAGTTCACTTTTCCGCACTCTATCTCTATTTGCTGAGTGCTAAGCAGAGAAGCAGTGTGTACCATTCTAATTGTTCATTACAAGTCTTTGGCGGCATGACCCGGTTGGGAGTAGAGCCCGTTTATAGTTTATTCGTTGTTATTATTATTCGTTCTTATTATAAATCTCTTATATTCGTTATTATTATATTTATTCGTTTATTAGTTATTAGTTTATTCACCGATAGTACTTTCAGACTAGTTGTAGTTGTACTTAATTTACGACACAGCGATGTCGGACAAACCAAGGGTTGAGACTATCACGCTGACTGACTAACTATGGTTTTAGACAAACTAATCGGTTTGCCATTTTAAGCTGGGTTTACACTAGATACAATAATATAACCCAAACCTATCCTGGGTTTGGGTTACGTTATTGTATCTAGGTTTACACTACCGATTTTATGCTGTCAAATTGGCGAATTGGACCAATTTCGCAATTCGGCAACAGAGAGTTGGCGAAAATAGAACATGTTCTAATCTCCCTGCTAATACATAACTATAGTTGCTATTAACCAGTTTCTCGCGCAACTTTTACGTTTACACTGTCGATTGTCGGTTGTATATAATTGCGAAATTGATCCAATTCGCCAATTCGACAGCATAAAGTCAGTAGTGTAAACCCAGCTTTAGACAACCCTCCGGTACTGGCGGTTGAAGTAAATCATAGCGGTGTTTGCCTAGTGTTCCTTAATATAGACCTCCTCTATATAGAGTCCCTCTATATTAAGCGACTCTATGTTCGCCTAGTCACGCCTGCCATCTGGCGGTAGGTTTTTTTGTGCGCGAAGCGCGTGAGGTAGTGCTGCAACCTCTAAGAACAATATTCACTGTTGTTTCGAATTAAGACGAGCGAAAATAGACACGCGTGATTGCGTGCACGTGAGAGTTCTCCCTGTGAAGGTTTTTTAGAAGCATAAATTTTACCAACCACGCCTCTTTGCCTATAGTGCTATTATATATATATAATAGCACTATAGTCATATATACGGGTCATATATATATATATATATAATGACTATGTTCTTCCATGCTATCCATTTCTCATTTATAGTGATCACTTATAGTGATGCTTCGTGCCCCGGAACACCAGTTCTGAGCGCAAAATAAATCTATGTATCTTTACAACGAATTGTTTCAGCCCAAATCAATAACTGCCCCCCCCATGCTGATGCCATTATTCGGTCCCTCTTCATCTTCGTCGTTATCAATCGTTGTTTATTTCGGGTTTCCGCAATCGATCATCGCACGTGTTTGTTGTTGCAGGTGTTCCTGGGAGCTGGTATTACAGCTCTAGCCTTCTACACGCAGTACACGATCACGAGTTCTGTGAGGCACCGTGACACGCCTTACTGGGCAGGAATACCGGTAAGAAGAAACGCACGATATAATTACGGAAGATAAGAAGCATCTCCGTTATAATTACGGCTAATTAACCGCCTAATTAACGGGCTAATTAACGTGCCGTAGTCGGATATTCGATTTCGTCGTTTCTGTGCTTGAGGCCCCGCGCAGGAGGTTCTACATCTCTAGGCTCCTCCTCACAGGATCCTCCCATTACAGCATCCTCTCCTAGTGTGTATGTATGAATGTATGTACGTGTGTATGTATGTATGTATGTACGTATGTATGTGATTAATGGTGATTTGATAACTGGCATTCGAACCGCGTGCTTCGCACAAGCTCAAATAGAGCATCCATCTATTTTGTGATTTTATCCATTTTTTGTAAATTCTTTCTGCAGGTCAGAAATAAACGAATCTTTCTGTTAAGAAACAAGAAAATGTTAGCATTGCAAATCCTGTGTTCTCTATATTTCATCACCGGCATTGATTTACACGTAAAGTTTATCGGAACATTATTGATGACACACACTAGTAGTGTGTGTCATAAGTAGACACACATTCCAGCATTTCCCTCCATATCAACAGAACGTATACACTAAGATAGGGAGGTGGCATGTTGCATCGTCCCTTCTCCACAATTCTTCGCGCAAGCAGGCCATCAATAAGGGTAGCGTGAGCTGGATCTATTAGCTGGTAATGCTGGATAGACTAGGTTACACACGCTATGAGATTACGACAAGCTTCTTATTAAGTGTAATGTGTCGAGGCAGTGGGAGGGGTCAGTGATTCTGAGTGGGACCTCACACACACGCACACGTACACACATACACACAAACACTAGCTGTCCAGCCTTTCTTCTCGGCCGTTGGCTTAGTTCACCGGTCGGCACTTTTCGCTGGATTGACGATTGATCGCCGATGGAGTTATCATGACGTGCTTAACTCTTCTGCGCCCCACATGATGGCGCCACTGTCTATATTAGAGCGGCCACGTAGTTCTAACACGTCCGCACTGTTCGGCGTCAGTGTCTGTCTTTGAGCATCTCTATGGTAACAGCTAGACTGCGCCCGCCGTCGCTGGTGCAATAGTAGAGCCACTGTTCCAGCGTTCTGTCTAGTCTACAACCAGGCGCCGCCTCAACCACGTCGACATGAAGACACGTATCGACACGCCTATCGCACGATCGAACAAGAACCGCTGCGTCGTCCGGTGCAGTCTGCGCCTGCACGATGGCGCCACCGTCACAGCAGCTCCTCACTCTCGACTCCGCCCCGCAGCGGGCGGACGCGGGGGAGAGCTCATACCGCAGCGCCCCCTACAGGTACTCTGCGATCCAGTCGACGAATCTCTCGACGCGCGTGTATCCGCCGTAGTGAGAGGGTATCGCGCAGCCCTTGGGGCTTCCCCAGCTAACGATCCCCTCCAGCACCCAGTGATGGGAGGCACCTGAGCCAACGCTGAACACCATGGGGCCGCCACTGTCGCCGTTACACGAGTCGGACATCTCCGTGCCGTAGCCGGCACAAAACATGTAGTCCGTCACCGGCACCTGCAGTAGGAGCAAAGGGTTGAGGGGGTCGTGTAGAGAAATGTTCAGCTTCATAGCAATATGGGCAGTAGGTTAGGAGAGAGAGAGAGAGAGAGAGAGAGAGAGAGAGAGAGAGAGAGAGAGAGAGAGAGA